AATAAACTGAATAACCACACTCATGAGTAATGAGTATTTTGCCTGTCTGTAATTATCTCTTAATATGTTCATGCTGTGCATAGGCTGGACCCATGAACTGGGGGAGCTGCTAGGGATTACTGATAGTACTGACAACAAAAATAAGAGTACAAGATCACCCTGATTGCTTATTCAAGGCTAGTTCCCTAGTTAATGTGAGTTAACATACATGGCCAGGTCAGGAAGAAGAAGGAGGAATTTGGTTGGGATTTTTTTACTCTTTTTTCGAGCTAATTTGGATTTCTTCCATGGAACTGAGTCTTGAACTCTGCAGTCTCTGGAAGTATTCAGAACCTGTTGTGTGACATGGAAATAGAGCATATTTCACATCTTAGAATATCAGTCTTTTGAATTTCAACCATTTTATGATGGAGATTGTGATTTTCTGTATATTTAACACAGCACACCACTCACACTCAATACACAGCAAGACAAGACCTAGAACACACAGAGGACAAACAATCAGGAAATATTGTTCTTCAGGCTCCAAGAAATAAATATTAACTGAAAAGAAAAACAAAACTAAGACGAAAGAGTTTGAAGAATGCACTTAAATTCTAATCTGATGTTTGTTTTCTTCTGAATATCAGACAGCAGTTCTATTAAAAAAAAAAACCAGCCTCTTGCAATGTTCCTTTTACAGTTAAGCAAATACAGAGCAAGACATAAATTAACCCCACTCCAAATCAGCTTGTTTTTCTGCTTGTTGAGTATCAGTTCAGATTTATTTGCCATGGACCAAATTCAGCAAAGCACTTAAGCACATGCACAACTTTGATCATGCGAGTGGCCCCACTGAGACTATTCACATGCTTAAATATACGTACACAGTTAAATAATTTTGCTGAATCCAGACCTACTTTTCCTCAAGAAAGCATCTGCAGAGACAGAGTTGTTCTATTCTGACCATGAAGAGCAGTAAGCAAATACATGACAGTGAAAGCTGCGTTGATCACTTGTAGCTGGTCACACAGAGCTGTTTCTGTTCTCAGTGAGCCGGATTTTATAGTCTGGATTAAATGTAAAGAGCCCACCAAGACACTGGATTTCCCAAGGTGAAATGACAGTGGAAAGAAAGGGCAGAGGTAGCTGAAGGTAGGTCAAGGAGAGGAGGAAACTAAGGAACCTCAGAAACATTCTCTTCCCGGTTTTGGTCAAAAAGGCATCATTCTTGGAAAACTTGCATAACCAAAAGGCATGTGGGGCTATTTTCTCCTTTTTGTCCTCATTAGGAACATCTGTGTGAGACTCTCTGTGTGTGTGTGTGTGTGTGTGTGTGTGTGTGTGTGGTGTAAGGAATTCCCTATGCATTTTACCCCTTTCCTGGGATAGTTTAGTTACCTCTTTGGCAAAACCAAAGCAGGATCTTTATGGGAAATCTGCCTCCCACGAAGAACTAGTGACACAGATCTTAAAACTTCTTTGGCTAGATCCTCAAGATTGCCACATAAGTGCAAGGATGTGCTTCAGTGTTGTACTGAACTAGAGGCCCTACCCTTCTCCAGCAACGTGGGAAGGAAGGATTGACTGAAGGTGACTGTGAAACAGATTATTTAGGATTACATAAAAAGCAACAAAGTTAGGAAGCGATAGGGGTGGGCACCAGAAATGAAGAACTGTCACAGCAGAGTCATCCTGTGCCAGTACAAAGTTGTGCCCTTGGCTGGTACAATTTAGCATCACTCCATAATACCGTCCTAACCAATATTCCAGGGAAAGAAGGCATCCTGTTCTTTCACTATAGCTCAAAGAGCAGCTGGACTGCTATGCCACATAGCGGAGGTATTTGTACAATTTCAGGCCTATTTCATGGCTGGATTTGAGCCTCATTTCCCCCCTTTTTTCTTACATGACCATTGCCATCTTCCTTGAGATAGCCTTGGTCAAATTCTTGGTCAAATTTATGCAATCTCAGCGACACAGAAAATCGATTTTCTCTTTTTGCCATCACCTCACCTTCCCAAAGAGATTTTTGATGTACCAAATAGCTCTGAAAATGTATTTGATGCCCTCCCTGGACATACTGGCTTATTAACCTGTGCAAAAATTACTCAGAAAAATTCACAAATGTTATTTTGAAGCAGCAGAAATGTGTTCTCTTCTGTGCCTTCATAATTGAATTACAAAAGGGAAATAGGAAAAAATAAGACATTAGACTATTAAAAATTCCAGTGCTCAGCCAGCAAGTGAAACACCACACCAACACTGAACATAAAGATTTTATGCATGTGCTGAACATCCAGAAATCTCTTAATTGTGGCCATTACTTTTTCCTCTATAAAAGGGTGATTTTCATTCACTAAACTTTCTAACAGGAAATTATATCAAGTGTGTAAAAATCATCTGTTGGGCTTGAGAAACTAATCGGAGGGTGAGTTTTCAATAGAAAACTTGATGTTTGATGTTTCGGCCCCCAGTTCTGCTGAACACCTGCAGTGGCAAACAATACAAACTCAATGACTTATCAAGTACTTGTTTTCAGTAAACCATTAACTCCTTGAAAAAGGCTTTTCTCCTCCCAACAATAATTTCCCAGGTCATATAGTTTCAATAGCTTCCCAGATCACTCCCTTCATACGAGTCCCTGAGAAGCTTGGATTTTGAGAAAAGATCTTACATGAGTTTTACAGCCCTTGTCGAGTTTACAGGCTTCATGAAAAAAGGAAGCAGTATATTCTGAGAAGAGCAATCCGCGGGAGCTTTACAGCAGTATTTGGTTAAATATCTTGCAACAAACAATCTACATGGAAAACACATCTTTTTTTTTCCCGATTTTAAGTTGTCCGCTGGCACTCTCGAAAGTCATAGTTAGAAATCCTCAGTGCAAACAAATCTCATCCGGTAGACTGCAGAACTGGCCATCAGCACCATTCTTTTCTCCCACGGTTATCCCGAAAGTGTTGTTTTTAAAAGTTTCTTGAGCTGAAGGCGTGTTTGTGTGTAGCTGGCCATGTAAAGCACGTGGTCCCTAACAGAATCGCCTGATCTTAACGATTTCTTCCTAACCCCACCTAATTTCATGTTGTGCTTAAGGCCTTTCTCACACACTGCTTAGCACCTCTTCCTGTGTAAAAGAGGGTAAAAAGGTATAGACACAGAAAAGAAGTAAAAGTGTCCTTCTGTGCCCTGAAGACTTTTTCAGCAGGAGCTTTACATCTTGCCAGGTGTGCTTACAAAAAATACACTTGGCAGGCAAGAAGCCTATGAAGGAAGATGTGATCATAACCCAAGATCCAGACGTACTGGAAGTATTTATAGAAACATCTCCAAACCCAAATCGTGCAAATATTTATTTGCTTGCATTTAATGGAAGCACGTGTGCTCTCTTGAAAAATGTCCTCCATGTAGCATCAATGCAGAGTTGCAGAGAAGCAAAATCCTGCTCTCCTCTGTAAGATCAGGAATTAAAAAAAAAAAAAACCACAAAAAACCCACTTTGCTACACTCAAAAGCCATAAGAGGAATGGTACAGGAATATTGTTAAAACACAATCATAACAAAATCAACAAAAAGAGTTCCCTTGATGAGACTCTTCTTGAAATGACCAGCGTGCCCTGACCTCTGGACATGGTGCACAGGCAGTTTTGGAAAGGCCAAGAGCCCAGAGAAGAGCTGGGAATGACGGCTGCTGCTCTGCTGCTGCTGCTGCTGCTGGTAGCTGAGAGCAGACCCAGCGCCAATGTTTATAGACAGTGAAAAATGCCTGTGAATCACAGCTCTGAAGTTCATTTTCAAATAGGTTTCAGTTTGGTTTTTCTTTCTAACGGCATTTTTTTAAATTCCAAATTGCATAAAGACAAAAAACTGATTAGAACTTCTCATTCAAAACTTTTTTTGCCCCAAACAGCACATCTGCAGTGTTCACTGCTCTGAGGTTCATGACTTTTTTTTTTAATTATTTTTTTCTCACAGGGAATTTTCCATCATCAAAAGCCCGAAGCAGAAAACAATAGGAAAAAAACCACCCAACACCCTGACTGCCGGCTTTCCTTTAAAACAAGCACCAAAGGCATTCATTCTTGCTTCTCACAGAAACAATAGGGGAAAATCTCGGGGAGAATAAGAATACAACCGGATTGGAGGGGGGAGCCGGGAGAGGAACCGGAGCTCCATCCCCGCCGGGGTGCGAGGGAAAACAAGAACACAAACCCCAAGCCTACAGCCCAAGCCTCTCGCTGTCCTTTGGGACCGCAGCGGGAGCCCAGGGCTCCATCATCGCCGGGGTGCGAGGGAAAACAAGAATACAAACCCCAAGCCTACAGCCCAAGCCTCTCCCTTGTCCTTTGGGACCGGAGCGGGACTCCAAAGCTTCATCCCCGCCGGGGTGTGAGGGAAAACAAGAATAGAACCCCAAGCATCTCGCTGTCCTTTGGGACCGCAGCGGGACCCCAGGGCTCCATCCCCGCCAGGGTGCGAGGGAAAACAAGAATACAATCCCAAGCCTAAAGCCCAAGCCTCTCGCTGTCCTTTGGGATTGGAGGGGGACCCCCAGGCTCCATCCCCGCGGGGGTGCGAGGGAAAACAAGAATAGAACCCCAAGCATCTCGCTGTCCTTTGGGACCGCAGCGGGACCCCAGGGCTCCATCCCCGCCGGGGTGCGGGTGTGTGCGGGCGGCCCCGAGCTCCCACCGCCCCGCGGCCACGGGGGCTCCGCCGAGGGGGGGGGAGATTTGGGGGCGACTTGGGGCGATGCCCCTCTCCGGAGGCCGCCGGAGCGGCCGCCCCGCGGTGCCGGCGGGGCAGGGTGCGGGGGCAGCCCCGGCGTGCGGGGGAGCAGCTGCGGCTTTAAGAGCTCCCACAATGCCGTGCTGGCGTCCCAGTTCCGTTACATGTCTCCCCCGGTGAAGGGGAGCGAGGGAGCGGCAGGAAGGAGGCGGAGGACACCCACCCACTCACCCACCCTCGCACTCGCCCTGCCTCCCACCCGCGGGGCTGAGCCCCCCCCGGGCTCCGCTGCGGCCGCGCCGCCCCCCGCGGGCAGCGAGGCGGGGCCGGCGGGCGCTGGCGCTGCCCCGGGAGCCGCCGCGGAGCCGCCGCCGGACGGAGGGGAACGAGCGAGGGGCAGCGGGAGCGGTGAGTGCGCGGCCAAACTCTCGCCCTCCTTCCTTCCTCGGCTCCCTCCTCTGGTCCCTCCGTGCCTTTCCCGCAGCCCGCCCCGCTCCCTCGCCTCTCGCTGGCGGCTCGTCCCCGCTGCTGCTGCTGCGGGCTTGGTGACCCTTCCCTGCCGCCCCATTCCCCGCTGCCCCCTTCTCGCTCGCCAACTTTCCCGTCCGCTTCCTACCTCTCCTCGGATTTCCATTTTTTTTCTTTTCCTTTTTTTTTTTTTTTTTTAAAAAAAGCCTTTTCCCAGCTCTCTCGCGCCCGTTCTCGTCCTTTTTTGCTCCTTCCTTCCCTGCTGCTACTTCCCCGGCTTCCTCCGGCTTTTCCTCTCTCGCTCTCTCTCTCCTGGCGTTCTGTCTTTCTTCCTTCCTTTTGGGCATCGCGTGGAAAAAGTAAGGGATATTTCTCTTGTGTCCTTGAGGAGGGGAGTTCAGAAGCTACTTTTCTTTACCCAGGGAAATCTTTGTAGTAGTTTTCTTCCCTCCTCCCCCCTTTTCTTCCTGTGCTCGAAAAGAAAATTCAACCTATTTTTTCTTTTTTACCCCTCCTTTTTTTTTTCCTTTTTTTTTTTTTTTGCGACGTGGACTGCTTTGGTGGTATTTTTCTTCTCCCCCCTCTCCAGGCAGTGTCGGTTTGTTTCACGATTAATCTCTTTTATTGCTGCCCCAACCCCTCCCTCTCTCTTTCTCTCCCCCAGTAAGAAAAAAAAGATTAGAAGAAAATCTGTTTTGCCAGCAGGGAATGTATGAGACTTTTTTTTTTCTTGGGGTACTATTGACGAGAAAAGCTTAAGCAAATACAGTACGGTAGGACAATAGAGAGGCATGAACTTTAAAGGGTAAGGATTATGGTCCTTGGTTTCTCCAGATCTAAACTGTTGTTGGGAAGGTCTGGGTCAGGGTCCGGTTTGGGGTTGTGTGCCAGCCTGTTTTCTGTTCAGCAGAGGAGTGATTTAATATGCCAGGAGAGTGGTGTGCTAAATTGCAGTTCAGGATTGCTCGTGGGTTTCATCAGCGTGGAAAATCAGGAGGCAGGGGAAGGTTACGGATTTCGGTGTCCCCTTTAGAATTACACCTGTCACGCCTTCCATCCCCGAACTGCGAATGTATCGGAGGCAGACACATTAACAGAATAGCTGGAAACTGCTTAAATCCGTGTCAGAAAGTGCTGTCGTGTGGTTTTAAGAAGTCTGGTTCGGAACTTGAGAGCTTCTGCCTGAGCTCTAGTCAGCGTCACACGGTAAAATTAAGTGTGTGCCGGGCTGTGGAGAGCAAGTAAATCAATTGCCTAATGATTTCTGCGAAGACACCTGTTTAAGGGCTTTCAGGCTCCCAGCTAATTGTGTTTGGGAGCGGTGTTATTGTGTTAAGTGTTGTAGAAGTGAAGTGCTGTGTCTTTTTCAGTAGAGAGTATGTAGTTCGTGAATAAGATGTCAACTCTTTCAAACAGGAATGGGTCTTGGTTGTTTTATGTTACCTCTCTTGATAGATACCATTTGAAAGGTCCGTAACATTATGTGGCTAAAATGCAAATAAAGTCAGCCCTACTTTTCCCCCCTCTAATGAAGAGAGAAAACAACTTCAGATTAACTTTTGTGTGATAATATCTAATTGGAAAGTAGGCTGGACATTAGACTGGAAGTACTTCTCTGAGTCTTAGAGCAAAAAAACTGTTTGGTGTGGGATGAATTGCTGAGGGAACTGAAATGACTGCTTGGGATTCATCGTGTTTAGTTGCATGCCCTTTAGGACAACTGAGGGGTGAGGTGGTTCGCTTCTTGCAATTACTTAATCCTTTCCCACACTCATGAACTCGACAGAATTTGATCAATTGTTTGAATAAATCTTATGTTTTAATCTTTCCTGGAGATGAAAAACTTTGGGATAGGGGGAAACAGAAGCAGAAAAATAACAAGTTATGTTAGCAAGTAGTTTAAGTCTTTCTAAACTGTACCTTGAACTGTTTCTGAAAACACCACCAATAATTCTAAAGTAATGTCACTTTTTAAAACCCTTTTGAGGGAAACCCTGAAGAGGAATGTGTTAAAGAAGAAGATGCAGCTGCTGGAAGTGCAGAACTGAGTATTGAGGATGGTGGGTTCTGTTCCTGCTTCTGCCATCGCATGGCAGTGTGACCTCTGCCTGAGCCACCTTCCTGCCTGCACCTCATAGGATATGGAGATTTTCCTGAATCTCTTGAGTGCTTTTACACATGATTTTTAAGGTTAATTATGTGTAAATACATTACTCCTTGTTCAGTTGTCCCTTTGAGATCTGATCAGGTGGTAGTTTGACTAATACTCATTCTTTGAAAGTTGCAAAGTAGAAATCGTGAGCATCACTGATATAAGACTTTTGCATAGCTGTAAAGGTTTTGAGATTATTTTTATCCCCTGTGTATCTCTGGTGATATCAATGCATGCTTCTTCTATGTTACCTGGAGTCTGCCTCAAGCAGAATGTGAAGGACAATGTTGACCTCTCCAGAAAGAAACTGTTAAATTGAATTGCAGGGTGGAAAACTGTTCTGTGGGGACTGGGCTGAGGACCCCCCTCAGCGTGGTGCATTCTGTTCCTGGTAATTCCATTTGGTGAGCTCTGTAGTTATAAACTTAGCTTAGCACGTGTGTGGTTGCATTCTAACTGTAGGGGTTTGCTTGGGTTTTTAGGTCTTTAAGGCTTTTGTCTTGAAATTAAATGTAAATGTTGTGTGATTTTCTGGAGCTCTTTTGAAAACCTAGGTTTTCTTGTTTACTTTCTTGTACTTTTTTTCATGATGGGGTTGGGACTTTACAGTGTAATGAGACTTATTATAATCTCAATGCCTGCCTGTAATGTTTGAGACTTGCATACTTTGGAAATGCAGGGCTTTACCTTGTCGGAGGGAGTTGTTTCTCTTCAGTGAAAATGAGACTTGGTTCTATAGAATGTTGTTATTAGGCAAGTGTATGTGTGTGTATATATGTGGGGTTTTTATATAAATAACTTACTGTCTTCTTGCATATGCATATAGCCAGCTCCATGCTTCTGAGTCTGGACAGTCAGTCTAGTTTCAAACTCAGTTTCATAAATAATTCTTTCTGTCCTTCCTGACCCCCTTCAAAGCGAGTGGCGATCTCACAGCTTTGACAAGAATGGTTTTCTTGGCTGATAAGAGGATGTTCATGTTGTTCCCCCCCACCCCCCCGAGGACTGTGTGTTATCTTCCTCTGTGCTGATAAAGTGTGGGGAGGGGGTTGGCTGGTCTGTGTGTGCCAAGTGGTGCTGTCCTGCTCTGTCTCTCTCCGGGTCATCACCTGTGAAGTTAAGATCACGAAACTTGTGACAAACCCACCTTCCCTTCCCAAGCAGCACATCTGCCATGGGAGCTGCAGACTGTGCCACTCTGGGTTGTCATTTCACTGGGATCTCTGTAATAATCTTTGTGATATCATGAATATGGAGAGTGTATCTGAGAGGACTCGAGACCAGCACCATAAGCTTTCAGATGGCAGGCACTTGAGAAATCCGCTTAATTCACCTTTCCGCTTTGGAGTCCTCCTTAAAGAGGGAGGAATCTGTTTACTTTCTTGTTGTGCTTGATAAAAAAGGGCTTTCCTACAACAAAAGACATTGTAATGCTTTCTATAGTCCAGGCTTATTGAACAAAAGCGTCTTGCTGTGCAATATTGTCGCTGCGCTCAGTGCTGTATGATAACACATGTTTCTCAGCTGTTGTTGATTCCTCAGTGGCACAGACTTCAAAGGAATGTGCTGAAAGAGAGCCGCAGCCAGAGAAAAACGAGTTTTGTTCCAGTGGCCTGTACCATCCATCTGTTTAAATACTTTGCTGAACTATTCCAGAGTGTTCAGGCATCCAGTCAGGACTGACAAGCAATTATAGCTGGGAGCAGAGCCTGCTGGACGGAGACCACCTAGGGAAGGCTTAAGTGCTACCTCCCCTCCATGGGTCAGAGCCACCCTGCCCTCCCAGCCAGGGAGGAGAGATAAGGCTCGTCATTTGGGGAATCTTTCAACATGACATTGTCTAATTCCTAATGCTGTTGAGGATTTATTTATTTTTACTCTCTATGCTATCTTTAGCACAAGAAGGGAAGAATGGTAATGAGGACAGACGGTCATCCCGGTAGTCTCCTCTGTGTGCATGTAGCAAACTAGGTCTGTAATTTAAATAAGTAAATATTTATACAAAGTTAGTGAATTCTTGTTTTCCCCCCCAAAACGATTGGGATGGTTCATAGAGAGTGATCTGTTGATCACTCGTGTCTCCAAAGGTAGTAAAACACATTACTGGATTAATTTTGGCTCCAAAACACAACTAGTAAAGTTAAATTGGAGCCAATTATGTTGTGCTATTTCCGATTGAGTTTGGGGAAACACTTCACAACTTCATCCACAGTAACTAAAAAAAACCCTCCCACTGTACTCCTGCATTATAATGCACTAGGATGCTGCCAATTCCAAGCATTATAATTTGTTTTTACTTAAATTCTGATATTGGAGTCCACGTGCAAGACACGTCTACACCTGTAGTTGCCAACTGAATCTTCAAATCGTGGCCTGTGTGCTCTCCATAGTCCTAGGTACTGGAACTTGGAGGGAAATATTAACAGGGAGACTACAAGTGATAACCTGGTGATAACCTGTGAAGACCCTTGAAGTTTTTCCATGTGGGACTGACCCTCCTTTTGAGGCTTGCAATGAGTGCTGTAGGTAGAGCAACGGTGTTGCAGTTAAGAGGCTTTAACCTTCTTTGTCAAGGGAAAATGCTCATGCAGATGCACTAAGAGGATATTTGAGCTTGGGAAAACTGTGAGGCACTCCAGGATTTGATTTTCACCTGCAAGCAAGCAGCACAGCTCCGAAGGTAAGCTTGTATGTTGTCCTCTGCTGTAGTATTGCTCCTGCCTTTCTGCTGCAATGTGACATTTATGCCTTTGAAAGGATAGTTCTTTCTCCCAGTGTTGGCAGTCGT